CGGATAATGCGCCCTTGGAAAGATGTGTGTTACTTCATACTGGGCCCTTGTCCAATCATTCTGACGACGCTGAATTCTGAAGCAGGTGTCTAAACACGAACCTAAAGGACCTATGTAACGCCTACATCACCGTCATATATTCTGGTTGTATTCTGGTTCGCAGCCCTTCGCGGTTGCACCTGGTCAAGCACCAGGTCGGATGTTGCTGAATCCTCGCACCAGTGAGGCACTTGCATGACAACAATTGGGTGCTCAATCGAGGTTGTGGTCCTTCATATATGTTGACAGGCCCCCCTAAGCAGCAAATGATTCCCAGTACTTCCTCATGGTGCGATACGTATTTTTGCGGCGACACCATCTAGTACCAAGGGAGGTGCAAGTTTTTCTTTGGAGACAGCGCTTGCTGCCATGGTCCACTGGAAAACCAGAATGATACCGCATGCTAATGCAAAACTCACAGAGACATACGTTTAAAGTGTAATCCAGGCACTTCAACTGAACATCCAACATTCAATCTGGCTGGGGGTCCTTTGGAAGCTGAGGAAGTATCTGTGTCTGATCCTTGGCATCGCTGTTGCGAGGAAAGTCCTTCGGTCTCTTGTCTTTTGCAGGCTCCTCCTTGGCGGCGTCCTTGTGATGATGAGCTCCGGAGGAAACACTTGCTGTTTCATTTCTCTTTGCCGTGAGATCTTTGGCCCCTTCTTCTCTCGAAGGCTCCCTGGCTTGGCCCTTGGCATCAGGAACCTCCGAAGGATTTGCGCTTGGATCTCTGCTTGGGGTGAGGTCCTTGGCGCTTTCCTCCCTGACCGGTGCATTAACACCATGCTTCACGTCTGAAGCCTCCAAAGCCCTTGCCTTTGGATCTCTCTTTGCAGGCAGGTCCTTGGCTCCTTCTTCCTTTGCAAGCCCTTTCGCACGATCCTTGGAATCAAGAGCATCAGTGGGATCTGCCTTTGGATTTGTATTGGGAGTGGCTTCCTGGGCTCTCTTGCCTTGCGCAGGCTCCTTGGCATTCTGTGCGTGATTGCGAGCCTCTGACGGATTTGTCTTGGAACCTCTTTTTGGAATCAGGCTCGTGGTTGCCTCCTCTTTGATTGATTCCTTGGCATCATCCTTGGGATCATGAACCTTCGGAGGAGTTGCTTTTGGATCTGCGTTCGGAGAGGTGTCCTTGGCTCTTTCGTCTTTCGCAGGCTCCGCGGCACGATCCTTGGGATTAGGAGCCTCCGAAGGACTTGCCTTTGGATCCTTGACGCTCTTTGTTTCCTGGGCCTCCTCATTGAATCCTCTGGAACTCTGCTTACGAGTGTTCTCAGCATCCTTCACCTCTGCACTTTGCGTAGCAGGCTTCGCATTGCTGGCCTCCTCTTTCTTGGTCGCCTGGCAGTTGGCGATATGAGTTGATCATCACGCACAGATCGATTCCACAACAAGACCTACTGCTTTCAATGCAAACCAACTCGCGTGAGAATCATACTGAGACTGACCTAGACCCCTGACACAGAAGAACCCTATCTTGCCGAGCAGAATGAGAAAATGAGGCTTGATGTTTGCAAGTTATCCACCACCGCGGAACGTTTCCAGAACGCATGACATCGAAAATACTTACCTTTCATATTTGTTGTCGCCGAGTCGTGAGTAGAAAGGTTCCTTTGTCCCATCAAAGTTCTAGGCAGCAAAGCATCCCCGAACTATGACAATGATTCTAAAAGATCTGGCAACATCTACCCCTCATAGAACTCTTACCACCACATGTGCGCTTGGAAAATGTGCAGCATCTCAAGTTTGTGCGCTCAACTTCAGAGCCTCCGGGTGCTGCGCAGAATTCTGCTCTACTTTTGCTGCTTTGTCTTCCGCCTCATGTTGGCCAGGGAGGCGGTGTCCGAAGACCAGCCAACACGATACAAGATGTCAGGTGTCCTGCTGATCTACAAACGGAATGAATTGCACCAGGATTTTCTGGGGCGTGCAGTTCATGTAGCCGTTGTGTGACACAAAGATCATGCTGGCGGTGGTTACAAGTCACATGCCCATGGCTGTGGTTCTTGTAATGCCAGTTACCTAGCTTTGCAGAAGGATTTCCTAAGAATCCAACTTAGACATCTACATGGATCTGTCTATGTCGGACAGAAAACCCAAAGGCACCAACCTTGTCCAACTTTGTGGAAGGAGAAGGTGCTGCCACCTGCAGAAAGCATCGGGGTGTCTTCTGAATATCTTCTCTCCTCCTTTCCCCCATCAGTTAGAGAAGCAGCAACGGACATAGCCATCACCCTAGACCCCACAACACAAAGACAAGTGCCAAGGCTGAAAGCCGCACGCTCGATTCCGGATGTCTTGTGACATTTTGCGTTCTGTTCTGAACTCTCTCTCCTGAAAACGATGATGGCTACGACCTCGCTGCTCCAGAAGCGTCAACAATTAGGGAGAGCGCCTGCAACGTTCCCAGGGCCGCTGTAAGTCCAATTGCCAGCGCCCGAAAAGAAAAAAGAAAGACCAAACATAACTCGCAAAGGAGTGCGTCGAACCTATGATTCAACACACCGCAAGAAACAGCTATATCTAAACTTGTATATGAAGGTTCCTCTGCGCGTATTGAATTAGTAAACCATTCGACCAATGTCCTGGACGGCCTTGAAACAGCAGGGCTGATTCAAAACAAATGTTGAAGCACTACACCCTTAACCCCTTAGAACATCTTAACCCTTAAGCCGCGAACAAAGCAATACACCCATTGAAACAAGAAACCGCTACTCCATGAAAGCAATGGAAATCCACTAGACCGTTCAGCGGTTCATCGATTAAACCGTGATTTTCTATATGGGGTAAGCTATTGGTTTGATTTCTTTCTTCATGGGTTACTGGTTCAATCGTTGGATGGCTAGTGTTTTGCGGTTCAAAGGGCTAATGGTTTAGTTCTTTGATGGGTTTCCGTATTGGGGGCGACCATTGATGTATGGGTGTCATGGATGACTGATTTAAGGATTAGCGGTGTGGGTACCTGATGGGGGCCGCGGGCCGCCAGTGGCGATTGGATTGTTGGTTTAATGGGTTCATGGTTTTTGGATCAAAACAATTGTTTAGAAACACTTGGGTTTGGCTCCAATGGTGTGATTGTTACTGCTCATCATACACTTTCTACGACTACGGCACCACCACCACCGCCACTGCAGCCGCCGCTGCTATGATTTATCAACACTGCTGTTTCTGAAAGGGAACACTTCTACCATGACAGGGGTCATGAAGAATCAGTCAGGAGGGGGCCACTCTGAAGCAACACAGGGAACAATGTGGAGGCCTTCAATCCTGGAAGACTGCCTTTAGAAGGGGAGATTACCTTCGAAAGGGCCAAGCTAGGGCATATTTGTAATGCTGAGATGTTCTGAGGGAGCATCAAGGAACCATAAGTGACTAGGGATTGGTGTGGTTTTCTAATTTTTTCTGACTTTGACGAATGTCCATTCAAAACTACCTAGCGGGCCCTAACTAGAATCAGGACTTTCTTCTGCTTGATAGGCTTTGTTAGCAAGTAGAACAACGCCAACAACAGTGCCAAAGTAATGACTAAAACAAACTGAGACTTCTTTAGGATCTAGTTGATTGGACGCTTGCGCATTCCTCAAACCCGAAACCTCAGATTTGAGCTCGTCGTGCTTGTACAAAATTGAAGATTGGGGCCCGTAGGTCTCAAAAACAATATGAACAAGTTTAGGGTGTAGGACTGTCGTACAGCGCAGTTCTGGTGCAAAAGCCTCACGCCCTGGTCTGAGCTGAAAGCCGAAATCGTAAACTTCATGGTCAAAATCACAACCCCCACACCCCAAACTCAAAACCTCCACATAAGTTTAAAACTCCAAGCCCAACACCCCAAGTCAAAGTTGGTCTAGTAACCCTACATTTCCTGTTGTACATCTCTATTTTCCAACTAGCAGACTTCAAACCTTCAGGTGTGCAAGGGATCTTCCAACTTGGCACCTCGCCCCACGCCTATGCAATCCCTAAACCCAAACCCTAAATTGTAGTTTCCATTTTCTTTTCCATTATCCCAATATCCCCAACATTACCCCTATGTCCCTCGCAAACACACAACAGGTTCAAAATGCTAGAAATCAGAGAAGGCCTCGGACGCAGCAGTTGATGCAGATAATTCCCTTGGCCAAGAAGGTGAAGTTTGAACACTTCTTTCACAATTACACTGTTTCTTTATTGGGACCGCATCGCACGTTCTATTGAGTATAAGGTCTACCGTGGGCCTTTGTACAACCTGAACATAAGATCAAGGCCCTAGGCCCTAGTGATACATGCTCCCATGCATCTGCTTTGGCATTTGGCGTTTTGCGGAACGAAAGTTTGGGGGTTGAGGTCTGCTTCAGGCGCTGCCAGGTTTTGCGGGATCAAGAGAAAGTCTTGAAGTGCAAGGTAAAGTAAAGAGATTGCAGAACATGTTCGGGGTGGGCAAGCCATGGAACCGATTGTTGAAACTGCGCACCATCATCTTTCAGTCACACGTCATTGGCGAGCCTCGTCAAGCTTCCTTAAACATGTTGAATATCACCAGACAGTCAGGGAAGAACACACCACAGCTGTTGCGATCCATCATGAAAAGCAAAACCTGTCGAGAAAGCTTCCTTTTTTTTCTGGCCAAGACTTCCAAGCATTGCGTGCATGCCCGAAGATCTTCTCCGGGCTGCCATCTTCACAGCTCCAAAGCTGCACGCTTTTGGGCTGGATGCGTCATCTTGACCGCTTAAGCTATTGGCGTGTATACCGGAAAGCATGAGAAAACATATTGAGCCCTGTCTCCACAAAGTTTTAAGCGGCTAGGGCTATTTCTTCATCATGGACCTATGTCCTGAAACGTATGGGTTATTCTCAAAATTATGGACCCTTTTGGGGTATAGATTCTATTGCCGCACCTAATATTTAGGTTTACCAAAATGAGACCCTAATTTTGGGAACTACCTGTATGTCTTGAAACTTCAGCATCCAACAATGCACGCTCATGCATTGGTCTGGAACTCGCCCAAATCCACGAAGTTGCCTTCAAATGAGCCATAGTCTAAACTCCTTAAAGGGCTCTGTATACGGGACTATATAGGGAACTAGTATAATAAGGCTATTAAGGGGGATACTGGAATTTAGACTATGGCCAAATGGCATGGGCATGATCCATGCGAAGCCCTTGCTGCAAAGACCAAAAGAAGAACATTCAAACCGAGTTTCGTGTCAGTTTGCAGATCACAGCTTTACGTAAAACCAGCAAAACCACCTGTCAGCTATAAGGTTGGCATGCGTGATCTGCTCCTGCCTGCTGGCCCAGTGTGGTACGGTCCAAACTTTTCAGTGATCCTCAGTCAATCAAGCCATCACGGCATGTTTGCTTTAAAGTGTTTTTTCTGCTTTCACTGTCTAGCGCGACCCGTTTCTGGCCCTCACAGGTTGTGGCGTGAAGGAATTCGTGCCATCAGTACCCAAAAACAACCGAAAGCACATTGTCTCAAGTAATCTCCTCTGAATCCCATTGGCTTACCGTGAAAGAAAAACTGCTACCCTGCTGCATGCAAGCAACACTTTCTGCTTGCGCTGGCAGCTGAGCACAGCCGGGATCTCCTCTTGAATGCTTGGTGCAGGATACCAGCCGTTGCCAGTCGGCGAACCTACATCACGCGAAGCTGTTCCATTATTTGGCTGGCAAATGATGTGGTGTTTGCTTGTCATTGCCGACAGATTATGAACACATGCTCCCGGATGATATGCGGGGGGGGGGGGCACAATCCTGCGAATCAAACAAACATTGCTCTGAGGAAGGAAACTTTCCAGGGAAAGTAACTATGACCAAGATCACCACCACCACCAACAACAACAACGACGACGACGACAAGAAGAAGAACAACAACATCACCCTCGTCACAACCACCGACATCATCAACATCAGCAAAAGCACCACTTCCCATTCATTCCATTCCATTTCAATTCGTTTCTTCTTGCTTCCTTCCTTCCTTCCTTCCTTCCTTCCACTCATTCACTGATCCGTGCATCCATTCATACATTTAACCACTCACCGCCTCCGTTCAGTTCATGCCTAAATTCTTTCAGTCCTTCGCCTTCATTCATTCAGTCACTCAATTATTTTATCAATTGCGTTCATTGCTTGCATTTCCTTGTTGTTTCATTCCATTCAGCCCATGCATCTCATTCTTCCTCCTTCATCTCGTTCATGTCACTGGTTCCATTCACTTCATGGCAGTACAAAAAGATCTTGCACACGAACCCAACAGCAGATATCCTGCGGGGAAGCTGCTGTGCGTTCCCCTTTGCACCTTCAAAGCCACTTGTACCCCTTGGAGGCCACCCCACACGCATGTCACAAACGAGTGGGGGTACTGGAGTCTTACGAGAAGCATGCGACACACCATCCTTGAGCGACAGCTGTCCCCTATTAAGGTTGCGAAATAGTACAGCTTGTGAGCCGGTGCAACACATGAAGAGACGGTCTTTGGGCAGGTCTAGCAGGACAACAACCGACAAGCTGCGATCCCTCGGGTTTCTACAAGCGACCTGCAACTCAGCTTGGGAAAGTTCTGTAGAAGGTCTAGCCCGAAATTATCGGAACGGCTGATAGAAGAACTCACTGCCTTCTCCTGCCAAACTCCGCGCTGAAGAGGCTAGGAGCGTACTGAAAGTTGGGTGCCCAACCCTCCAGAAGCACAGATGTAGAACCGACAAGGAGAATGTACGAACCCCTCACCCTACTAGCAGAAGCAAATGAGGTTTGGACACATCCGCAAGAGAAGAGTGACCATCAGCAGAGCTAGTTTCCATACATGCAGAGTTTCCTTTGAGGGAAACTCCTTAGCCGTGCTGCCTTCAGCAGCTGGATCTTCACCGTTCTGAAAGAACACAACCTTGCGGCTGAACTGGCAATGTCACCAAAACCAATCTCACGATGTCTGCGCTACCAAAATAGTTCCGGGGTTGGAGGGACAAATCAAAAACAGCGCAATGCCAATCCAAGAGCCCGCTCACCGACCAGCATGTGCCTTTCAAATGCAAGCCAGCAAAAACAAGCTGTCCATGTGTTGGGACTGTGGGCTCACGAGTCCTACTGACCTACTTACAACCATAACATAAAATCAATGAAATCCGAGCCACTAGATGAAATCCAAACCGCTAGAAACAACAAATCTTGACCATGACTTCTGGCCTATCAGTGGCTGGAGCACAAGGCTGAAACAAGAACCAAGAATGAAAGTGCTCCCAACAATGCCACCCTGTTGCCACCGGCGTCTTTCTACTGACCAGCGGATGGAGCATGCAGGGCCGACGTACCCCCGGCCGACCTTCGAAGCCAGCAATGCATGCCTTGCCTCTGCTTGGTAGCCCTGTGAAGCCCTGCGTCGAAATTTGGAAGATGGTTTTTCGCATATCCTGAAAAGAGGTGGGCCCCGCACCAACAAGTTCATGAACCTCTGTTGCTTGTCTTCGTACATGCTTTCTTCGGATCTGGTTGCCTAGTTTGTGTTGACTTTCCGTTTCAGGCCTGCATGCTTTCATGGTGCCCTCCACGTGAAAGAAAGCAGGAGAAGCCATCTTTGTAATATGCAAGCCTGAATAAAATTGTCAAATGTATTTTTGTGGTAAAAGCTTCCTTGTAGACTTTATATAGTATAGCGTGCCTCAGTCAAACAGACCTCAAAATGCTATACGAACTTTTATAGTAGTGGTTCTGCCTTGGCTAAAGGCATCTCCGCAAGCAGGACATGCAAGAAGCCTGAATCAATAACACAACCCTGTCTCTTTTGGTCACTCGTGAGCGTATAGCGATCTGGTGAAAGAGTGCAGCTCCTACAGAGCGATCAGGGTCAATAAGGAATGACGCACCGAAGCCCAATGAAGATCTGCAATGCATCAGTTAACAAGTCCATGCTCCATTCCTCAACTCTGCTTGCCAGCCAAAAAACAGCTTTCCACCATGTGGATGTGTCCTCTGCAAAGCCAAGCAAGTCACAATCAACATCTCTACGGGGGTTCTCGGCACAAACGGGTCGGTGTTTGGGGCAGACTGCATTGTTCGGGAAGCATCATGTAGCAGAACCCTCATGACACTAGTGAATGACTCCTGCGTGCCAGTGCTTCAAAAGGGACTCCGTGTTTCTGCGACCATGTCTGTGCTGTGACTGTCACCTGGTCGCTGCTGTTTAGCTTGATTGTGGCGTTCCACTCGCTATTGGTGGCACACGCTGACCCGTTACTTGCTGTCATGGAGCTAAAGCCCATCTCCCTCAACCCTGACAGCATGAACTTAAAGTAAAGCAGCCACCAGCATGGCTGGCTTCAAGAAGTCATGGCCTTTACCGAAACCAACATTCTCCACGTGACACTTCCTGAACATCTGACTTTGCACCGGCATAAAGGGTACTCGTGCTTATGCCCTGGCAGCTTGGGAGCTCAACCCACACACCCAAAATTATCTTGTCATTACACAATGTCCCCTTGCTTTGGCTCAGACTCCTTGCCTTGGTGTCCTGCTGATACAAGCCGGGGACTTGCTCCAGCAAACGCTTGAGGGAAGCCCTCAGCGCAGGCAGATTCGCAAAAAAATACCCTAAACCCCGAACTGGCAGCTAGAGAGGGTAGGAGGAAGACCCGACACTGCCTCTATTGCCTTTGTGCTGCCATGGCTATGGCATTGGCTTGGCACGTGCGCAGCCTGTGATAGAAGAACTACATGGGTTAAACTCATACAGCCACTATATTCCCTCTTCTTGTCCATGCTCTTTCCATTTGATGCCCCAGTATAAACATCGATTAACCATCAAACTCTACTGTATCGCTGCGCTTTTCTGGATTTAAAACCTTGGAGCACCCAAACGAAAGAGATAAACTGACCCCTCAGGGGTTTTCAAGCACGCTTCAAGGACAGCAAAGCATAAGTTACGAGGGGGGAGCATGGCAAAGTTTTCAGGCCTTGATAGTACAGAGGCTTATCCTATCAATTCTGGCAAATGTTGCAGGGTGCTTAGGTAAAAGGGCTAGGGCTTCAGGACCTTCTGGAACTGTGGGTATAGGCTGTTGGATATCTTGAAAGTCACTGTAGGGTGCGTTGCTCCTAGCTAGAGATCAGATGTTGGCACAAAAACATCAGAAACCCTGCTCATATCAGTAAATGCTTCTTCCTGTCCAAGGTTATGCCTTTTCAATTCTGCAGAATATGTATGTGATCTACATGTAAGCCAAGAGGTCCACAAGCATCCTAAAGCCACCGTGGACTTTTTCCTTGACGCTTTAGGGTTCAGGGTCACTCAAACCGCTGGCCATTATGGGCTTGCTCGCCCACATGCTTACCTAGAAAACATAGCCTGCTTACGCGACGCAACGAAACCATGCAGAATTGCAACTCAGCAGCTTTGCCGCGGTTCTTCAACTTTCATTACTAATCATTACAATCACCAATCAAAAATGGACCCCATCACTGGATTGGTACATTCCGAGAAGAGTTTCAGGGCGATCCATTTTGGGATCTTGTAAAGCGAATGGCAAGTTGTAGCCGTTAGCTGCAGCGAAGCGGCTCGGAGACCTTTGGAACAGTACCGCCCTGGAGAGATGAGGCTGCAGGAATAGCGCTATGCTATAGGGTTTGAGTTGACAGCATTTCACATATTGGGTAATGGAAACTACTACATTATGATAGGGTATATATCGGGGTTATAGTAGGGTTAGGGCTTAACATTTGTTGATGTTGAAGGGCCTCTTGGACTTGATGGCTCAGCGCTGCAGCGTGGGCTTTCTTGCTTCAGGGTTCAGGGGTCGGAAATGACACATTCTCACAGCAACTCTGGACACACCACTGTATATTGGGTTTCCTCAAATTAGCGGTACCATTTTGAGGGTATCCATAAAAACAACTACAGCATATTGGGGTCGATATTGGGGTCGCCCCATGAATGCAAACTACCATGTTATTCTTGATTGCCATCCTAAGGGATGCGGTCTGGGATTCAAGTCACGCAGACATGGATCACACAGGTTTCGGTTTTAGATTCTTGGAAACTTCTGATTTCTGGAAATGTTCAGGCCCTACGCCTTCGTGACAAGGACCGTGGGGATACTCCAGTTTGCCCACATGTAGTCCCCCTCTAGTACCAAGCAAACAGCTTGTTCCTCCATCACCCGAATAGCCTCCGCGTGGTGACAACAGTTTCCAACCTTTCAATTCGACGCTATCAAGCACATGTGCCAACGTGAAAAGCTTCCTCTGCATAGATATGAGACCAAGTTATAGAAGCTTCGTATCATCCCAAGATTGCGTACCCCTCGTGTGCACTTCTGCTTGTGATTCCAGGAACCTCACCGTTCTCTGAATCACACGCACCCTACGTTCAAGAATAAGCACGCATCACAGAATCAAAGTTCGAGTCTCTAAGTCCAACAACACTTTTCTCGTGCTGTATGATGGCCAGGTGCACGCCGCCTGACTAAGAATCAATAAGATAGCTTTTGCAGCTGCTAGGGTAGGTTTGGGGCCTTGTAAAAATCAAAAGTTTTGTCACTATAAGGATTGTGTAGGGATTAAGGGTAACAAGCAAGTAAAACAATCAAACTTTACCCCTGGCTAGTGGATGATTCTGACTTCTCATTCTTGGCCATACATTGCTGGAACTGGGCAAATCCAACAGATATTGTGTGGCATTGTAGCTACTACCGAGTTGTGGGCACTACTACTGCAACGGCTTCCCAAGCTCCATAATCGCACAGGGCCCTGTCCTGAAAATAGACGTTGAGCTTCTCGTCAGTGTTCAGGGGCTTGCGGTAGCTGACCTGTGCTGATCTCAGGGTTCTAAAGCAGAAACTTGGAAGCTTAGAATGACAGGGAAGCTTAGAATGACAGCATAAGAGTTGTACTTTGAAGCTGGAACACTGCCACATGAACAACATCACACTTGGCTGCACTACTTACCAGCTGAAGCTGCGAAACGTTAAGCCCTCCCTGCCTCCAAGTCTATCTCACTGTCAAACTGCACCAGGAGAGCTCCAAAGCGTCCATCCTTCCCAAACCATGAAAAGGTGTGATAATGCTTGCTATCAATGAACTGCCACTCAATGTAGCCATTCTTCAGCGCGTAAAGTTTGGCGTCTGGATTAGAGCTTGCATCGGAAAGTGGTGGCCAGATGCTCAGGAATTGGGGATTTCTTATAATAGTTTCCATTTCATTTTCCATTCTTTATTTGACTCTCCACTATTGGATGTAAAATCCCCAAACCATCCCAAACCTCATATACCCCTTTTGGGGTACCTGATGCTCGTGCGCTGCATCTGCTAGTGCCATATTGACATAATGCTCGCGGAAGGCTTTGCATGCTGTGTGGGGGCTTTCCAGCAACCAACTTAAACAGGCAAAACAGGCGGATAGGCTAGTTCTGGCATGCTCAGCCATGTTACCATCGTTAGATCATGTTGCCGCTTGCTTCGTTCCTGTCATTACTTCTGTTCTGACTTCTGACCCATGTCCTACTTCCATGCCCGCGAACATGGCTCCTTGTCAGTTGTGTCTGGTGATCGACCGTAGTAGCCTGGCTTGGGAACGGTGGGTAGAGGGTGTGGGTTGAAATTCCGCTCTCTCCTGCACGCCGGGTTCTTTCTGCTCTCATCCTACTATCTTTGAACGTGATATTGACCCCTTTTGAGAAGATGACCATTGATACGTGATCATTGATATCAATACTGATATGACTCTGTGTTGTTATTACCATTGTTGCTATCATTGTTCTTATTCTCATTATTCAGACTAATTCGAATCCATCTCTGCCAGGTGGCCTTTCCCAACTGCCCAGAGTTGGACATCAGCCATTGGTGCCCCTGCACGATCAAGGACGAGGCCTCCCCCAGCAAGGTTTCAGATTTTCGGGGAGATTTACGGGGTTTGCTTGATGTTTCTAAGGGCTTGGGATTGGTTTGGGGGCTTGGGGCTTTGAGGTTCCAGCTTCATTTCTTTAGGCTTTCATGCTTGACAACGCATAAAGCAGCACACTGTTCAGCGGACATGTTTCAAGCTTCGACATATAGCCTCAAACGAGACTCTGTATGCCAACCTCAGCTTAAGCCTGAAGTCCTGAAGCCTTCTTGCATCTGGGCGTTTGGGGCGTCTGGTGTTCGTAGTGCAAGGACCGAGAACGTCATCCCCAAACCCTATCCTCAATCACTAGCCTACAACCTGGAAAACGATGCTGCCAATCCAGGACTGGAAGGACAAGAAAAACACGTGAGGACTCCTTGGACCCACAATTCTTTGCCTAAAGTATTGGAAGCAATGCCTATCGTGTGGCCGCTTCATTTTTTCTTACCACTGTTACGAACAATACGTTGAGCTGGACTGTTCATATGTTTGAATGATACCATACCAAGCCTAAGCCGCGCCTTTCAACATGGTGCATCGATTGGGAGAAGAATATGCCATGTCAATGTTCCAGTATCCGAGCTTCCTCAACAAAAAAGGGGATGTCTTGGACCCGTCTTGGGTTTGAAGGTAACTTTAGGGTATACCTTTCGGAACTTCAAAGCATGTTCGCAAGTTTCGGAGTCCTTACCGCGGCAAGGACTCCGTTTGGCGTGAACTCTTATGACATTGATGTTCCAGGAGAGCGCGCGCGTCTGGCAACTGGGCATCAAACAAAAATACATCCGTCTAGTGGCCACCAGAAGGCCAACTTGTGTGCCACAGCCCGGCACGTTGCTTTTGATGAAAACCTTTTTGCCGAAAACTTGTGGACATTGCATCATCCTGTTTCGAACTCATGCAGTCACAGCTGCCTACTGAGATTAATATTGCTGCCGATCCTGTCCTTGACGTTGTCTGACACCAAGCACTGTATGATCAAACAAACTTCGTTCTGACAAGCATCTCAAGCGTGTTGACTAATCAAACTCTTAACCATAAGTCCTATGCAAGACAAAGCTTGCAAAGCTTTACGCCTCTAAAACCTGAAGCAATTTTCGACTGCCGTCGCTGTACACAGCCCTTAAGAAGGCCTCAGTGGGCGGATGCTCTCTACAGCCTCATAAATCTTGCCATCCTAGGCCCATCCCTCCGTTACAAAACCTATTTCCCCTCTCTGCTGGACCCTGCAAGCTCATGAACTTGGTGCATTCTTGGGGTTCTACTTTTCATGCAGCAATGCTAGACATGTTTGCACGACGCCTAAAAGAATCAGCCCAATCCTTTAACACACCGGGGTGCTGTACTGGAGCTGCCAGAGATTTGTTGCCTTCGGCAGCCAATCTCTGCTGAAACTCCTGCCGAAGCCCGGGACGTTGTACTACAGGACATACCAGGAGTGCTTGGTAACCCAAACACAAAACGAGGACCCGTAGCTGTCACGCAACGAATAGCTACACGCGCCCTTTCCCGGATAATTCGAAGCCAGGGCTGCTTCCCAAGTTGCGCCCAACTGCCAAGACCTTTTTCAAGCAATCAAAAGAGTCCTTTCGTAGTGGCTTTGGGTTCCAAGTAGTACCTGCTTCCATCCTGATTGATAGTTCTTTCGCAAATATCATTGGGTTTCTGATGTGCCATGATTGCTGATATTGCTGCTTCTTTAATGAATTTAATGGTCACGAAGGGAATGAAGGCACCCGAATGTTGCGAATGCTTATGATTTTGATGAAGAACCCGACTTCTGAGGCCCCAACATAAGACAATGCTCAAGCAGGCACCATCCGTTCTAGTTCGTGGAACTTCCTCTGAAGCTCCAAGTTTGTGCAACCTCCAGAAATGGGCAGCCCCCCAAAATGGCTACTGTTCAAACAAGTGCAACTTGAATCGCAGTTCTACTGTCTGTTTTCGCGCTTGCCTGCAGCAAACTTGGCGCTCAGCTTCAGGACAACACAACTGCAAACCAGTGATGCCAGCGCCGCCCTCAGCGATACTTATTCGTGCCGTTCGTGAGTATCCGGACGACTTCTGCGTGCCCATTCTTTGAGGCAACTGATGTTGCAGTCGCTCCGAGATTGTTGGCTTTGTCCTTGTCAGCCTTGGCCTCCAGCAGCACGCGGACCACATCAGCGTGGCCGTTCAAAGACGCCTCATACAGCGGAGTCCTGCCAGTAGTGCTAGCCCAGTCCTTGTCCGCGCAGGCCTCCAGCAGCAAACGAACAGCATCCACGGATCCACAGAAAGCGGCCCCCTGCAGAGGAGTTGAGCCATAATATTCCAAGTTAGGATCCTGCGGTCTTTGCAGTAGCTGCTCCAGTGTTGGCAGGTCGTTCTCGTCTGCGGCATCACAAAGTCTTTCGACCTGGTCCCTGGAGCTCGGGCAAAAGGGAAGCAAGATGAGCTGGACATCCGTTGGTCCATCCAGCACGGCATCGTCCGGCAATATTTGGCCATCCGGAAGCAGCAGCCGCTGCCGGAACCGCGGCTGCCCACATACACTTTGCAGATAATGCTTGAGGTCGAAAATTCGCGTGGCCTGCTCGCCCGCGCCGATAGTCTCGCCAAATGCTGCCAGTTGAAGCGCAAGAACTTCCTCGCCGGAAGCCTTGAAAACTCGCAGCATCCTATCTGATGTGCAGGTTGGGAAGGAACAAGGTTGAGCCGCTGCAGGTCAAACAGCTAGCAAGCCTACAGGCATTGGTTTTTGCCGCGGCCGTGGGAGGGCTGGTGTGGATTTCATTTGAGCAGCGCCTTTTATTTAGGAAACCGTAGGTTAGATTGAAGACCGCCATCCCCATCTGAAAAGCTCATGCTTCCGTTTGCAACTCCGACGCTGTACTGCTCTCTGTATAACACCTTTAGCATGCCGGGGTCACCAGGTGAAAAGGAATTCCCTTGACCGCGAAACATGAACTCGGCAACATCTTGCAAAGCCTGGCACCCTGTTTTCAATCCCCCAAATAAAATGCCGCAATTTCCAGAAAGACTTCAACGCCTCCCGCTCGGTGCAGCACGAGGAGGACTGTTCTCATGCGCGTAACATCTGGTCAGGAGATAGGTGCAGAAAGAGCCAAGCCCTATGTCAAGGCCAGCATAAATGGCAAAACTCAGGTGATCATCCCTGGCAAGCCCGTGAGATTTCGGGGCTGAGGATTCTGTTGCACGCTGATCGCGGTCCTCTGCAGTCATGACAGCTTTGGCAACCTGCAAATGGAACTTTCTTGTGAGTGTGGGAAAGGATACAGGGTTCTGCAGGGTGCACTTACATCTTGTAGAAGGGATCGCACAGGAAATAGCGGTCTGCCGATGGGACATAACATGGGACAATGGGCTTTCTTTTTTGCGGCCGTCTGTCTTTGGTGTTTTCCTGTTGAAGGACAAGCTCCGAAAGCCCATATCATCCTGTATCCTGATTGCGGTGATGACACTTGCAACAGCGCACGCCGCGCGCAGCTACACAGTCCGGGCAACAAGGGCGTTTGCAAACACCGTGTCTGATTACAATCCGAAGCCCTAGCAAGGAAACGGCAGCACGACTTCTCTCCCTGTGCTGAACAGTTGCTTTTGGTGGCCATCGCCTCCCGTTTCAAAGCACCCATCTTTGCACACGAAATACCCACCCTACGTTTGCCAGATGGAAATGAGGGTGCCGCCACAGCAGGACATAGGCAATCACACGGCATGTGCACAAACCACCTTCCAAAGATGACCCCGAATCCAAAATAACAGCAACAACGAGAAATCAATAAGATAGCTAACGGCTTTCATAAATAACAGTGTTGCTCATGGTATGGAGGAGTAGAACTCAAGCCGCAAAACAAAAACCTAGTGCTCTGCCTTCTCCGGATCAAATCTGTCCATCTTTGTTCGCATTCCCTGCGCACGAATACAGCACCGTTTCTGCCCTTGCGTCTGAAATGGTCATAAGATACGGTCCGGCTCCTACGGACCTCTGATCTCCTTGCTGCAAAAATTATCAGGCTCTCTCTATGTGTGTTTTGGGCATCGCTTGAAGTACTTGATCGTTTAGCGTCTTCAGTGCTACTAGCTTGTGGTCAGGGTCAACACCACTGTGAACGCAACCAGTCTGTTGCTGTTAATCCTTTCCAAGACAATTGCAAAGCGATTCAGAGCATCTACCGAACGCGTCTATCAGAATGAATATGCTTCAGCGGTAGAAAATGCTTGACAAAAGCTTATTCAAACACATTGGATCTATGTGTTGATCACATCTTCCTTAAAGCGGCTTGAAGCAAACCAGGACCGTTCTTCAAAACAGTTACAGTCATCTGCATATTGGCCTATGCAGTCATAGAAATATGATAGGGCAACGAGTCAATGCAGCAAGCCCCTAGCAACTTCGGCTTACGTCCGGATTACCCATACCCAATCTTGCTTCTTCTGTAGGCCTACAGGGCCTGGAGTCCAGGTGCTGTGAAGCAAGGGCCTTCTCAAACTGTGGGCGTTCTCTTCAGGGACACATAGCCGCAGCCGGACCCCAGTTCTGAGAAATTTTCAAGTCCCTACTTCTTCATGCAACCAGAAGGAAGCCTACACTGGGACTTGGGGCAAATGTTGGCGAGCGGGCAAATTACCTCCAGGCCCTCAGCAATGTATGTTGTAAACGCACCAAATCAGTGCCGCGGGAATTCAAAGGAAGGAAGCTGTCTAAGATCTTATTCGGCCAGGCTTTAACGTCTTCGCTCGATTCTAGCAGGCCTGCATTTAACGTTCCTTGTTGGTATCAATGCTAGCGGCTCCCAACTACTGCATTAAGTGCCAGGGGAGTCGTGAAGGGACGGCGTCTGGGAAATATCGTTGATCTGCCCTCGCCTTGTTTCCCTGCAGGGCAGAATCCTGACATAAAGACAAACATTAACACATAAGTTTAGACACAGCACGCCCACATCAGCGCATAAATTCATCACACACTAATAAAGCAGAAAACATGTTTGGGGGAAAATCCTGTATATCATCCTTAAGAAATGAGAAGCTATACGCAAGGCGTGCACATCGACACTACGCAATGCATGATATAATACAGATAAGTCTGTTAAACAAAGAAACTTTCAATGTGCAAAAACACAGGCCCCCAGGCCACCTCTTCTCTAAGTTTACCATGCAATGCAGCGCAATCACTATTACCAAGAAATGACTTTTTGTGCGTAAATGTACGTCATGAATACAGGCTGAACCAAGAAACAACTTTCAGAAACCTTATCCAAGCTTCTGAGTTTCCCGGCCCCAAAACTTTGAAAATAGGATGATGTATACCTAAGAGATCAAAAGACAATGTATCCACTCAGCGGCTAACCCAGAATAAGGCCTTCTTCTTCCTAGGCCGCATCTTGATTTCGCCAGTGTCCTCAGTCTCGGTCACCTGAAAATGGTTTTGATACAGAAGTGTCGCAAACTGGGGCCCTAGGGACCTTAGGGACATGCAGGGATCAAAAAGGGGGGAATACACATTTTTTTGATAAGTTCCATTATGGCTATGTGGGGATTGGGGATGCCATGAGAATGCTTTAAACCCTGAAGGATATATTGATCCTCCGAAACAAGCTTTCAAAACGGCACATGTCAGAGTCTAGCAATAAGAAACCCCCACCCCGTTAATAAAGAAGAATACTGGAACGGATTGTGGGGTGAATTATTGGGGGTGTGGGATTTATTCTTCGGGAAGGAAATTCCAGTGCGGATTGCTCGACATTGACGCACATGACGTGGAGAGGGAACCTCGAGATGAGCCTGAACCACGGCGTGCTGAAGATGATCATGTATGATACTTAGCTTACTGGTTCTTAGTAGGGAATATTGGAATGTACTATATAGGCAATATATCGGGGTAACATGCCTTCAGTCCCTACTAAGAACCAGTAAGTTTAGGAATTCTGGCTTAGTGGAATTCTCAGACCGTACCCCGGGTAGGGGGGAACTGTTCGAGTTCGAGTTCGCGATCGAGCTCCGACCAAGTTCGAAGGGGGAGGGTGGAGTTCGAGTTCGAGTTTGAGTTCGAGTTCGAGGTCCGACAGGTTTAGGGGGGGTTGGAGTTCGAATTCGAGTTCGAATTCGAGTTCGAAGTCC